TGAGAATCCTGACTCAAAAAGATAAGGGGTTGTTTTCTGAAGAATACCTTCTGAGGTTGACCACTGGCTTCCAAACATATGCACACATGTGCATCCATACATGTATGGTCACATATATCTATAGTTATACATGTATGGTCACATACATGCCAAAATAATTTTGAAAGTATACATTGTCTAATGATTACATAAAATCCTAATTAATTATCCCACTGCCAGAGAAAATGTGTGGTGAGTGCCCAAAACTCTCAAACTGTCAGACAGGAGTCAAACAGGAAGTGGATTGTTGCATAGACTTGTATTTAACTGTGAGAACATTTATAAACTCCTACTCCCATGGCCGGTATTACCCCTAAGAATATCATGGATCCAAGCCAATGAGTGGTAAAGAACTCCAATGGTTGAAATGTCGATGAGATACAGGATTTTCTCACTAGGCGAAAGTAATCGCTGCTGTGATCAGGAGAGTTCTTGTATCTGTCTGGCTGTTCTATTCGGGGTATCTTGTGTGTAACATCTAAAAGAGGGAAAAGTAATCTCTCACCCAGCTGTGAAACAGGAATCCCAGGTTTCTCCAGACCAACTCATGTCACATACTCATTTGCAGTTACTCTGGCCCAAGGCACAACAATGGGATTGTTTATTTTAGACCTATCTCTGTTTTGTGCTTCGATCACAGAGAATGATGGAGCAAATTTTTTAAAACAATAAAAATTTTAACTGACTCACAATCCTGTAAGTTGATAAGTCTAAAATCAAAAAAGGACCAGGTGTCGATTAAAGTCCTCCACCCCTTTTGGAATGGAGAAGGCAAATCACCACAGGATGGGAACACAAGAATGCAATAGCCAAACTAGGTTCAGACACATGTTTCATCCCTTCAGTCTCCGCACTCAGAAAGCAGAAGCAATCAGACTCTGTGAGTTCAAGGCCAGTCTGGTCTACATAGCAAGTTCCAGATCAGCCAGAGCTCTGCAATGAGACTCTCTCTGTCTGAGGGAGAGGCAGAGAAACACACACACAGAGACAGCTAACAGTATTTCTGCATATTGCTCTTGAATTAAAATAGCTCCAAAATTTCTACTTCCCAAGACTGCTTCTTTGATAAACCAAGTTTCCAACAGATGAACCTTGCTGGACACATTCACAGTGTTACAATCTATATCTCCGACTAGCCTTAAGCTAGAATGTATTGGAAGGATTGAGCTAAGTCCATCAAGACCATGAAACTTGCTGTGTGGCAAAGACCTTTCTGAAAAAAAGAAATACATTTATGTATGTCTGCTTCTGGATGGAAGTTTAAGCCTCTACATCATCTTGACGCATCTAAAAATAACATCTGACCACTCATATGGCTCTATTAAGCACAGTGGAGAGTCCCTTTTAGAGTTAACAGAGTAGAAAATTCAACCAAAATAAATTATTTCAAGCAGAAAGAATACTAATATTCAGACACTTCTACACTGCACTAGCTCTGTGAATCTTTATCTGTTGACATCAGCTTAATTTTCTCTGTACTTTCTGCATCACTAAGAAGTCCCCAGTGGCCAAGAGGAAATTCTGAGTGCTTCTCTGTGGTTGTTGCTAGGAAACAACATCCTTCGTATTGGAGTTCTCAGACTGAACCGCTGTGTGAAGTCACTGGTTCATAAAGGAAAACCGTTGGTAAAGAGATTGTTTAGGTGTGAGTAAATTGATGTTCCTTCTCTGTGGCAAAATGTTCTCGTGTAACCTTTGAATAATAGTGTGCTTCTAGGCCTCTATTCTTCGCTTGGATCCAGCTGCCATTATTGCTCCCATGAGAACTCCAACATCTATATAAATGGGAGTGAGCATTCTCTCTTTCTTCCAAATCATCTGTAATTATCTCGGTGCCTAGAGCACTGTGAGTAATGAGTTTTAGTTAAACAAAGTGAAATGAGCTTGGAAATAAAGACCCAGACCACTGACTGCCTAAGTTATTGAATTCTCTAGTCCCTACTCATCCACAGGGAGGTACGTTTCTAGACGTCCGGCAGATAGATGTCCAACGCACTGCATAGGCCATCCCCACATAGACTATGTTTTTCCTTTACATACCTATCTAGAACATAAATGAGACAAAAGAAAGAATAAATAATAACCACAATAAAACAGAAACAATTACAAGTGGAACATACATAATGACAACTATAAGGAACTTTCATCAGGCTTGTGTGAATATAGTCTTCCTGTGTGTTCTGGTGGAAGCTCCACCTGAGCCCCTGGCATACCACAGTCTGGGATGATTATGTGGAATCTCACCCCTCTCTCTATCCCCAGACCCTGCCCCTCAGAAAGTCCACCAACAGTGACCCTTCCCCTCATAAAGCCCATCAAGAGTTAGTCCCTCCCCAGGGTTGCTCAAGACCATGCCAATAGGCTACTTAAGACATGGCTGTCATATTTACCATGTGATTCCTCTCCCACCCTCCTAAGTCACCCAGGAGAGTTTTGTTCTGTTCATTAAATTTGGATTTCTTAATATAGTCTGGTTGACTTATTACATCAGTGGCCACTGATATCCAATAACCAGGGATTTAAAACTTATCACTATCAAGAAGGGTGGCTGGAGTGTGAGCACTGTGGTACTGAGACAGTTGGTTAGATAACTGATATGCGTGGCAGATGGGTGGAAGCCTAAACAGCTCAACAAGAATGTACTGGACAAAGAGGTCTCTTGCATCTTGGATGAACTAGAGTAGGAGGGCCTGGGATTTCACAGCACAGCTAAGAAAGATGTGTGGCTCAAGCTCATATGTGTATGCTTGGAATTTTCCATTTAATATTTCCAGAAGACAGCTAACTGGGCCACCTAGGCTGTGGGAAGGGAAATTTTACATAAGAAAGAATAAATGTGAATATTAAAATCTGCTTTGGCTGGTTATCCCATTCAAGTTTTATTTAGTGTTCTGCTGCTGCCCAGAAGTAGGATCTAACAGGGCTGCCAGTTTGGCTCACCTCACCCACTCCCTTCTCCTCTCTTAACTCAAACTACAAACTGCCTGTGACTCTCAAAACTTGAAGTTCTTCTTAGACTTTCCCCCTAGATTCTGACAACAAAGCAGCTGCTGGTGGTTGAAATCTATCACCTTGTTAATTTAGTAAACAGATCAAGTCAGAAGCTTTTAATTCCTGGATGTGGAGACTATAGATCTATGTGCTTCTCTATTCATTTGTCTATATAACTGTCTGTATGTCTGTCTATCCATTCATCGGCTATCCATCTATTCATCTATCCATGTATCACTCATCTATCCATCACATATCTATGTCTCCATCTATCCATCGTCAATCTTTCTATTCCCTATCCAAAATCCATTCATCCATCACCCATCAATTTATTTATCAATCCGTCCATCACGTATCTATCTCTCCATTCATCCATAACTCATCTTTCTATCTACCCATCATCACACATCTATTCGTGTCTCCATCCATCCATCTACTAATCTATCCATCAATCCATCACCCAACTACCTATCTCCTTGTGTATCTTTTCATGGATTCTTAACAGACACTCAAAACAATGTTAAACATCAGTGTCACACTTTCATACCCAAGTTTGACCTAAATCCCCAAAGCAACAATTAGTCCCAGGTAGATTGTGATAAGCCCCATATGTAAAGAGGATCGTGCAGCTTCTTAGAAACAATGTTTATATATAACAGTAAATGTCTTCTATTTTCATGTTTATATTTGGGTCATTGTAGATGGATTATTTCATATGGATATTTTACTTTGAAGAAAGGTCAAGTTCTTTAATCTAATGGGTCATGGTTTAATTAGAAATTAAATATATTGTAATATGTTGCAATAAATAGTTATTTTATAGAGTACCAGGTATAAAACAGCTATTGCTCAATAAATTCAGGAATAAAAATTATAAAATTTTCTGAAGATTAATTTTAATTATTTTAAGAAGTAAAATTGAGACTTTTTCTTATAACACACATACCCTAAAAGGGGGACAAGAAAAATGACTAAAATTTATTTTATTCTAGTCTTGAAATGGTAAATTGATGCAATTCTTTGGCACTTACATTCAGCTCCCAAAATTTAAACTTTAAAAGAAAATCTTGGAAAGATGTTACCGCTTTAATCAAAAGTAGGCCAGCATAATGCATACTACAAAGAGCTCTTAGGGTTATCTTTGAAACATGTGTCAGTAACTCTAATTTAAAAATGTGCTGCTTTGTTTGAGGTGAATATTAAAAGAAAAATGAAAAACTCAACTGTGTGTTTAACTGGTAAAAAATGAATTTTAAATGAGCCAAACTTTTTTAGACTTTTTAAAACATATCCATGCATTAGTCATGTTATACAATTTACTCTTGTACACCATCATGACTCATCACGGCCACTGACAAATGGGGACAGAACAGAATGACATGAGCAGACCGTGAACATAGGACCTTCCATGCCAAGGCCGGGGCACACTTTCAACTGTCTTTAGTTTCTCTGGGTGTATATATATATATACACATATACATTATATATATGGCTATGATCCTGGTTACATTTCTAAATAAAATGTGTGTTTATGTTTAAATGCCTTGATCATTTATTCAAGATTTTATCTTTCGCTATATTCTCATAACCTCTAGGCTCCCTTTTAATAACCATGTTTATTATTTGATTCTGTTTTTGTTCTTAGATAATACATAATCCAAATCCATTTCCAGAGCCCTTACTTTAATAAAAGAGCACCTGTCCATAGATACAATTAAAAAAAAATGTAGCATGTTATAAAGGTTCAGAGAGTTTATGCTCACTAAAGCTAAACGATTCTGTCCTCTGAGTAGCCACTCCCGACCCAACAAAAATCATGCTTGATGTAAGATCTATCTACCATTCAAATCCAAAATGCTAGTCTATGCCCTAGTCTGTTATGAATCTCCCACTGGCTGAAATATTGTCTTCAGAATGCATCTCTAGACCAGCTGTGCTCTGTGTGACTAGGTTGTGCCTCTTCACTTCAGATGGCTACACCACTGATGACATCGAGTTTTACTGGAATGGAGGAGAGGGAGCAGTAACCGGGGTCAATAAGATCGAGCTTCCTCAGTTTTCAATTGTTGACTACAAGATGGTGTCCAAGAAGGTGGAATTCACAACAGGTGAAGATGTTTCTTCCCTATTAATCCATGAATGTGTGAAAAGGAGATGATGATTCTAATCCAATGATGACTTTTCTTCCTTCCTTCCTTCCTTCTTTCCTTCCTTCCTTCCTTTCTTCCTTCCTTCCTTCCTTCCTTTCCCCCTCCCTCCCTGCTACCTTCTTTCCCTCTTCTTCCTTCCTTTTTTTCTTCCTTTCTCTTTTAAACCCAGGGGCATATCCACGACTATCACTAAGTTTCCGCCTAAAGAGAAACATCGGTTACTTCATTTTGCAAACCTACATGCCTTCCACACTGATTACAATTCTGTCCTGGGTGTCATTTTGGATCAACTATGATGCATCTGCAGCCAGAGTCGCACTAGGTAATGCCTTCCCACTTTTTCACAGTTAGTAAATCAGACCTTCAAACAAAGAGGCAATAGTAGTGATGAAAAGTAAAAGCTTCATCTAGCAAGTAGAAGAAGTAGTTGCAATAGGATGCTTTAAAATAAAATATCCAGGACAAAGTATGAGTGTTTATAATGAGTGCATTATCTTTTAAAGCTTGATTTAAAAAATTTGGAATATGGTTCCCATTGTATGAGTGTTTTGTGGATTACATGTTAGAACCTCAGTATACCATATGTTTTACCAAATGCGTGATAACCTCCTCTTTAATCTCTGCTTTTGACTCTGAGTTGTAATTAATTATTTTAAAATAAACATGGAAGAAGCTAAACCTTTAGATGGTTAGCAAGCTGCATCAATTGTCAGGAGAGAGTATCCTTTAATTGACCAAAGTTAAAAACACAAGAAATCAAGTCTCTCCTTTAAATATAGATCATTATATTCAATAAGGCACAAGTAATTCATCTGCTATATTAATGGTCTGTGACTGAGTCAGAATAAAAAATAGTTTCGTGTTTGGTGGAACAAAATCAGAGTTAATCTTACCATGGTTGAGTAATTGCTGAAACTGAAAAGCTATATTGAGATTATAAATGGTTTTTTTGTGGGGGGAAGGATTAGGATGTATAAAATATGTCTGATGATCTCATGTAGCCATGTGCAGGTCTACACTCAGACACATTTTAGATACCACTCCAGTTTCAGAGAGAAACAGGAAAAAGGGGAGAAACATCACTTCTGCTAAGATAACTAATATCTCTTCTCTCAATTACTGAGTTGAATTAGTTGATCAGTGTATTCCTTAATTGGCATATCTCCAGCCCTCTTCAATTGACTGAGTACATAAGACTTTCAAAGCCAAGTGTTTGCAGCCTCGTATCAACTTTAGGATATTCTAAGTATAAAGAAAATGGACAATTTTTCATGTTATATATGCATCTTCAACATACCTGTTTAATAAGGATGCAACCATGTGCATACAGTAGGGTTAAGGAAAATCCTGCATACTATCCAGTCAAAGATTGTGCACTCAGGTTTTCTATACATGCCTATTCTCAAAGCAAATGACATTTTTATTAAAGATATTAGAGGGGCTGGAGAGATACATCAGTAGTTTAGAGTTTATACCCTTGTAAAGGACATGAGTTCCGCTCCCAGCACCCATGTTGGGTGGCTCACAAGCACTGGTGGCTCCAGCTCGAGGGGATCTGATACCCTTCTCTGGCCTTCTTGGGTCCTTGTACTCACAGACACAGTTTCTCACAAAGGCACATAACTTTACAAAGCCAAATATATTTGAAAGATGTTAGCATATAATAACATTTTGATCCTTAAAATATTAAACTAAGGTATTATAACATGCATAATCTTAAAAATATTTATTTACTATTTGCTCACTTAAAACAAAGACTAAAAACATAAATTCAGTGACTATGTAAATAGAACGTTCCTGTCAATCACATTACTAGAACTATTTTAGATGAAATTGGAAGATGAAATCAAAAGAAACAAGATCATTTATAATGGAGTTCTTATCCAACACATTTGAATTAATCACTGATCTGAACCATTTTGCTCTTTTAAATAATATTTTTATTTATTCTTTGAAAAACTCATACATGTATACAATGTATTTTAATCATATCACACTGCTACTTTCTTCTAACCCCCCCCCAGGAACCTCCAACACATATCCCTTCTAACTTTATATTTATTGTTATTATTATTGATAAGAAAATATGATTATCAATTATAAAAAATTAAATCATGAAAGTTACAGGTAAATGCATGGAAATGGAAAAATGTTGTGCCTTATTTTCCAATGGTACTCCTGTTGAGTCATTTTAGGGAATCTACAATCTAGAGTTATTCCTTGCTGGATGACAGAAGCCCCCTTTTCCCTTCCTCTCCTTTGCTCCCTTTTATTCCTGCCACACCATTGACTTCTCATCCCTTTTACAATGTTGTCTTTGTTTAATGGCTTTCATAGTATTTCAGATATTACCGTCAAATCCCTTGCTTTATTTTAAATGTTTTTGTCGAACATCTTGCTCTTTTGTCCTGTAGACAAAAGGTAGCCTACATGAAGATAGCTAATCTGGGAGTTTTATTTGCTTGGTTGCTTTTGTTTTTTTTAAGACAGGGTCTCATGCTGCACAGACCGTCCACCACCATACTCAGCTCCAGAGTTCATCTTTATCCACCTAGAAAATAAGAACAATATAGTTCACTCCCCCCATCATATTCAGTGGGCTGTTGTGATTCGCTGTACTAATGTGGAGCTCTGGTATTAGGAGTGGCATTACAAACTGTCTATACAAAGTCTAGCTTCTTTTTTTTTTGTATTTCTGATTTCTTTCCATCATTATTCCATCATTACCATTATCAACACAGTATACTCAGTATGCTATCAAACAAGCTGTATACTATTAACGCCGTTTAGATTCAGCAAAGCAGTTGAAACATAACCTGTGCTGCATTTGTAGGCATTAGCTTTTTAATCAAATCTAAAGGCTGATTTTTAATAAACCTTTCCCTGGCAATAGGAAATGAATTTGTTACAAGCTTTCGAACCAATGAAACAGAGGCAATATTTCAAAAACTAAAACAGCAAAATCATATTTTATATAGAGAATGCTTGATGCATAATCACAAAATTCATTAAATATAGACATTTAAGGCAATCCCACATATGAGTGACAAGTAACAGAAAATGTAAAATGAAATTGTGAGAGAGGTGTGTTACAGTCTCGTGAGATTACGTCAAATTAAGCTTTGAGTCTGGCAGTGGACACTGTGAGGATCAGAATCACAGGGACAGATTCCAGAGGGAAATGACTGAGAAATGGAGAAAAAGGAAAGGAAGGATGTAGCTGAAGAAGGCTGTAGCTACATAACAGAGGAGAGACAGCTGACAGTGGGATTACAGGGGGATTTTTAAATCTCAATCTTGTGCGTGTGCACATGTGTGCATGTGTGTGTCAAATTTCTAGTATGGGAATGTATGTGTTATGCATGCATAACTCAGTGTGTACATGAAGGTCAGACAATAACTTCCTAAGTTGGCTGTCACCTTCTACCTTATTTTTGACACTGGAATTTGTTCTGCTTTTTACAGCTTCTTTTCTTATATTTTGTGCTTATTTTTAAAACGTCATTAACATTCCATTATCTGTGCATTCTATATTGTGTCTTAGAACCAGAAGCTAGACAGAGCCTGGCATTTTGTTTTTAGGTATGTGTACACTCTAGTCCAGTAGCATAGCATGTGACTTCGACCATTACAACACATTAGAGATGGCATTTGTCTTCTTGGTCTTAGAAAACCTGACGTCACAGAGGTGCCTTCAGCTAAGCTTCGGTTTTCTGTCCACAGGAATTACCACGGTGCTGACAATGACAACCATCAGCACTCACCTCAGGGAGACTCTGCCAAAGATTCCTTACGTCAAGGCGATTGATATCTACCTGATGGGCTGCTTTGTATTTGTGTTCCTGGCTCTGCTGGAATACGCTTTCGTAAATTATATTTTCTTTGGAAAAGGCCCTCAGAAGAAGGGAGCAAGCAAACAAGACCAGAGTGCCAATGAAAAGAATAAACTGGAGATGAACAAAGTCCAGGTAATGTATTATATATTACTGGTAGTATCTCTTTTATTTTTATCAATGACGGTGTACCCAGGAGTTTTTTCAGCAGAAAACTATGTTTGCAAAGTGGTATTTGCTGTTTTTAAGGTCAAAACATCTTTTCAATTAACAGATTTGAGAACAGAGGATTAAAGAAATGAGACTGAAAACTATTTATAAATGAAAAGCATATGTATCAGTGTTGTATGGTTGTAACAAAATAGCTGAAGCAATCCGATCTTATAAAGAAAAGCAGTTTGCTTAGCACACAGTTTTAGAGGTCGTAAGTCTGAAGGGTATAATACAACCTCTACCACTGTGGTTAATGGTAAGTTACATGGAAAACAAAGTGATTATGTCACAAAACATAATTTTTTATGACAGACAGAAATTTGGGGCTCTTAAAACCCCTTCAAAGGACAGCGCCTGCAATTAGATCACCACCTTACATTAGGCTGTAACTATTAAAGATCTATCTCCTAACATTATCACACTGAGAATGGAGTCTCCAACACATGAAAAATTGGGGGATACACTTAACCTATAACTCCATTGTAATGTATATCTATGACTGAGGTCAGCCTCAAGCCCATTATGTTTTAGTCTAAGCTATTTGTAAAATTACACATGAAAGAATAATGTGAGCTCTGCTTGATAAACAGAGGAGAGAAGTACAGTGAATAGACTTAGACTCGGACCCTCAGTGGAACTGAAGTCCTCCATAGAGTGGTTAAGCCAGAAGCTCAGATTCAACCGTGAAAGCAACTAGACTTGGGGAGGGGGAGGACTTATAAGCATTTCTCACAGAAAAAAAAATAAATGCAATGCCAACATTAAAAAACAAAGTGCTTTAAATAAATGTAGTTTGTACCAAACCCTCTAATAGACAGAAGTTATGAAAATTGGCAATTTTAAAATTCTACTAAAAGACATAAGTGACTGAAAACAAGCAAAAGATATAAAAGAACTGGCCTTCAAAAGAAGAGTAAATTATACTAGGAGGACTGCAGATATATGTATATGAGGTATATAGCTTTCCCCAGCAGCACTTCAGTAGAAAACCACAGTCAATGCATAGATGTTGATACTTCCGTGGTATCTGAAATTTCAGAAAAAAGTAAATAATCAGAGATACTTGAACTTTGAGTATTGACTTCCTTTAAATATTCAGGTAAGAGCCCAAGAAACCAAGATGGCCAATTCAAGGTTAGTACGGAGTGTTAGCTGACCAGGAAGTGGACTCACCTAGGAGATAAGCCTCCAGGTGCACTTGAGAGGGATTATTTAGTTTGGGTTAGCCTCTGGGGGAGCCTGTGAGGGATTATCTCAGTTAGGTCAATTGAGATTTGTGACGCGCATCCTGACCAGCAGGAATGAACGCCACTAAAAACGAGAATTCCTTCCCTGGTCACGTCTTTATTCGGAGCATTTGATTGAGGAAAATTGGGGGAAGGGAAGATAGAGCAGGGACGAGAGAAAGCTTAGAGAGAGCAAGTAGAGCCCAGAAGCAGCTGCTTTTAAACGGTGGAGAGGCTTGAACGCTGTCCTGATTGGTTAATGCCATTCTGCTGGTCTGAGCATGTGCAAGCAAGGGTGCAGGCAAGGGTGCTCAGCCCCACGTGGCTAAGCCAGGTATGGACTTGTATACCTCCAAACTGCAGGACCACCTGTGCCTCCAGGTGGCTTCCTACAGAGATTAGGTTGGAAGACCCATCCTAAAGAATGTAGCATGTTCTCTGGGTTTACATCCTGAATTGCATAGAAAAATAAGCAACTAGCTTAAGAGAGAGCATCCGTTGCTCTCTGGTTCCTGACTACGAATGAAATGTGGTCAGGCTCCTCAAGCGTCTGTCTCAGAGACTTCCTGACCACAATGGACAATACTTTTAAATTGTGTGGAAAAGAAAACCCTTTCTCCCACAAACTGCTGTGGTGAGGTATCTCTTCACAGTAACAGAAAAAGTGGCTAAGGCAACATCAAAGAGAAACACAGTTACAAGACTACAAATTAAAGGCCAAAGGAACAAAAAAAAGTTTTAACTGCCATCCACAATGTGGAATTGAGTACCTGAACGTGGAGTTTGTTTCTAGCCCATTCTTGTAGTATATTAAGCTTTTCATTAAATCTCCAAAATGATCATAATTTAAGAATAAAGTTTAAGTCATAAGACCAAGGTAAAAAAAAAAAAAACCTAAAGTAGACCGTCTTAGTTATGGTTTCTATTGCTGTGAAGAGGCACCAGGAGCACTGCAACTCTTATAAAGGAAAACATGCAATGGGATGACTCACTCACAGTTCAGAGATTTGGTCCATTGTTATCATGGTAGAGAATAAAGGTGGAATGCAGAAAGACACGGAACTGGAGCTGAGAGTACTTACATCTTCATCCAAAGATGACAGGAAGTAGTCTGTCTCACTGGGTGTGGCTTAAGCTATATGAGACCTCAAAGCCCACCTCCACAGTGACACACTTCCTCCAACAATACCACACCTACTCCAACAAGGCCATGCCTCCTAATAATATGACTTCTTTTGGGAGCCATTTTCTTTCAAATCACCACATAGACTCACTCTAACAATATATAAAGCCAAATTTCCACCTATTCTAGGTAATATGTTAGTGATTAAAATGCCTAAGAAAGCAAACCCAAAATTCTTCAGGGATGATAAAACAATCCAGAGTCATCATTCCAAGTATCTAGTACATGGTAAAATATTAAATTACCTGAACAGAAACAGGAAAATGATATCACAACCAAAAACAATATGATTTTAAGACTCTCAAGTGTTGACTTGGAAAGCAAGCACTATAGAATAACTGTAATTAATATATTTTAAAGTCTGTAGGAAATTGAAATACTAGCCTAGACCTGAAAGCAACCAAAATATTGTGAAATGGATCCATAGAATACCATTTTTGTTAGGGTTTTTATTGCTGTGATAAAACACCATGACCAAAAGCAACTTGGGGAGAAAAGGCTCATTTCAGCTTACAGGTCCCATTTGAAACCATGAAATAGAATGGATGTAAGTCACAGGCTTGAACATGCCGTTCAGTGGACTAATATTGCATCCTGTGGAGTAGAAAGGATTAGTTCCAGTTCCATTACTCAGGCTGTTACTGTGGACAGTGCCCTTTGGAGATTCCTGAACTGGAACCATGGCTCTCTGCTTGTACTTACTTCCTCTGTGGACACCTATACCTTCACTGTGCGACTGCCCTAATAGCATGTGTTTGTGTAGTTACTCTTTAGCATTTTTCTCTTATTAGACTGTAGTTTACAACAGGCAACAGGGCCTTTGTCTGCTGTATTTACTGTGCTTTCCTCTGTCGCTATAATGGAGTAGAAAGCAAATAAGTATGTTTCAAGTGAATGTATGTATATCAGATAGACCTTCTCCATTAAGAGTTTTCAGAATTTATTCAAATTGTTGAGTGACATGCCATAATGCTTTATGAATTCTTCCATCTTCTTATGAGAAAAGGAGACAATAACCTACTTTAGCTTCTGCCCAAGGCTGTCTTGCTGTTCCTATTTGTGTGTGTGTGTGTGTGTGTGTGTGTGTGTGTGTGTGTGTGTGTGTTATGCTGGGGATTGAACTCGGGGCTTCTAGGCGTACTAGGCAATAAACTCTCTAATGTTTTTATCAAACATGCTTTTATGAACTTCTGGCATTCTTTCTAAATCATCATGCCATATACTATTAAAAAATAACCTTTAACAGTGATTAGGCTAAGACTTTACTGGCTTTTTCATATGTAGATGGAATAATAACTACACAATGTTTTAGTTAGGAATACTCTTGCTGTGATAAAATATCATGACCTAAAGCAACTTGGGGAGGAAAGGATTTATTTGACTTAAGCAGCACTGTTCATCATCAAAGGAAGTCAGGACAGCACTCAAACAGGGCAGGAACCTGGAGGCAGGAGCTGATGCAGAGATCCTGGGGTGGTGGCTGCTTACTGACTTGCTCTCCTTTGCTTGCTCAACCTGCTTTGTTATGGAACCCAGGAGCACCTATGTTATCAATCACTAATTAAGAGAAATGCCCTATAAGCTTGCCTACCACCTGATTTTTATGGAGGCATTTTCTTTTTTTATTTTATTGATTTTTTATTGAGCTCTACATTTTTCTCTGCTCCCTTCTCTACCTCTCCACTCCCCGCTTCTCCCTTCCCCTTCAATCCTCTCCCAAGGTCCTCATACTCCCAATTTACTCAGGAGATCTTTTCTTTTTCTACTTCCCATGTAGAGAAAGACAAGTATCACATGCCCTCACTCATAAGTGGTTTTAAACATAAAGCAAAGAAAACCAGCCCACAAATCACAATCCCAGAGAGCTTAGACAACCATGAGGACCCTAAGAGAGACAAACATGGAGGTGTTTTCTTAATTGAAGTTTCCCCCTTTCAGATGACTTTCACTTGTGTCGGATTGACATAAAACCATCCAACACAAGCGGTGTCACCATCTCACACAACTGAAAATGATCCTGGAAATGCTTGGTTTAGCAAATCTTGACCACCACCACTCCCTCCCCCGCATCTTCTCAGCCAGGGACTCAGAGAGGCAATGTGTCCATAACAAATGTCCTCGGCTCAGTTCACCACCTCCGGAAGTTAAATAATGTCAGCTGTGCTATTTCAAAAACCCCCACGTGGCGGTTACACTCAAATTTGTCAAAATTTTTGTATTTCCCCTTATTATGGTGGTTGGATAATCTTCCTCTTTCTTGTGAGATGCTTGTAAAAAGTTAAACTTAATTGATATGTGTCTAGTCTCCCAGATTTTTCATTTTGGAAAGCTCTAGGATTTGCCTTGGCATCCTGGAGTGTGGAGTGACATTGTTCATTATTCCACGTTATTTTTGACAGCCTCAGCTGGACAGTTAGGTCAAGGGATATCCGGCCTGATACCTCAGAAGTGCAAACCCCGTATTGATTTACACTTCCACCAGCTGCAGTGAAGCATTTTTTATAGGCGTGCAG